AATTGCTTTATGTGGTGTGCTGGGATTTTACCTCTTTAAGTTGCACCCGTAAGGCAGTGTCTACACGCAGCGTACGCGCAACCAGCTACCCGCGACATACGTGCAGGATACAGCTAACCACGTGACAGCCGTGCTTGATCGCTGCCAATCGTTTTTCCTTGCACTCGACACCTGCCCAGCGTCTCAGGAAGTTTGCCAACCACGGAGCCTCCCTTCTTCCTTTTTTCTTACTCTTTCCTTCTTTTCCTTTCTTCATTTTCTCTTCTCTCTTCCTCTGCCCTCTCTCTTCAACTGCTAGGTCAGTAGATGCGATGGGAAAATATTGCTGGACCATGCGAGAGCGTGTCCGGTTGTGAGAGAAATTTCAAAATAGTATCCACGGCTCTCCCAGTTCCGACAAGAGGGGTTGAGGGCGCGGGCATGAAAATGGTGCCCCACCCCATTCAGCAAGCGACAGGAGTGGGACTGAGAAAGTGATAAAGGATAAGGACAGGATAAAGTCTTCACTGTTAATAAATCTCTTTGTGGGATGCGGCAATCATTCTACTTCCATTCAGAATCGTATAGTAGCAAGTGGCCGCGCTCACCACTCGCGCGGTCCCGGGTTCGAATCCCGGGTCGACTCCCGCCCAGGCCAACCAAGCCTTCTACCCTCCGGGGACGGTAAATTGGTACCAGATTCGTCTGGGAGGATAAAACATTGAGAAATTGGTACCGCCTGAAATAGCAAAAATAAATACCAGCAGTCTTCACAAAGCGGACAACAACCCCTTCCCAAGCAATAAAATCTTCGCCTTGCTGAATCCCCATACTCATCTAGAAGCAAGAATGGGATCTTGATTTACTCTCTTGATTCACAGGAGGCGCTAAAAGCACAGCACCTTTGTTATTTTCTGGCCTGCTGTCATTTTCTCGTAGCGCAAATACATTTGAATTAATATATGCCTGTTCTGTAACGCTATATTTAGAAAGCAGGAATTCCAAGCTTGGTGAGGAGCTATCCACTAAGGTACAGCGAATTTCTGAACTGGAGGAAGCTGTTCGCGACGCAGAAAATGGTTTAATGGAAACTCGTGCAGAGTCAGCAGAAGAAATAGCCAAAGTCAAGGTGTGTGCCTTCCGTTGTCCTCCATTGTGAGCTAAACCCTTTTCATATCAACGTTGGTTTTACAGGAGGAACTGGCAGAGACAAATGCTCTTGTTGGTAAACTCACCACCCAGCTGGAGGTGAACTCTCGTGCGATTCCCGTTGAAGAGGTTGAAAAACAGCTGTCAGCTGTCCAAAGCTCCATTGAACAATCTGAGGGCAAATTGAAGTCAGTGACCGAAGAGCGAGATCGCGTGCTTGATGAACTGAGCAAAGCAAAAGAGCAGTTGAACGAGCTCGAACACGATTTGTCAGACGCTCTTGAGCGCTGCGAGGCCCTGACTGAGGAGTTCGCCACGGAGAAGAAAAAGCTCAAAGGTGAACTGGAAAATGCTAAGAAATCTGAGGAAAGCTTGGTTAGAGAGTTGTGGAAGGCTGAGGAAGAACGCGCTGCTAGAAGTACTATCCAAGAACAAGTACAGGAAAAGATGACCATGCTGTTTGATGAGTCGCAAGCTTTATCGTTGAAACTGGCCGAAGTGAAGGCTCAAAACGAAGAGCTGCTGAAAGGAAAGGAGTTGGCTGTCGAAGAAAATAGAATGTTACAAATTGAAATGCAGTCAGTCAGAGATGACCTGGTAGACGCCTGCGGTCAGCGAGATGAACTTCTCGCGAAGGTCTCAGCACTGGATATTGCTAACAAGGAATTAGAACAACGACTGGAAACGCTGACGTCCATTGAAGAACGTTGCATCTGTGTTGAGGCTGCTTTAGAAAAAGTCTGAAAAGCGTGCCGATGAAGCAGATGCTCTTAGAGACAAGCTTATCACTAAAGATGCCGACATCAATATATTGCGGAGCAAAACGCAGATGATGGAAGAAGAGTTGCTGGTTGTTGGAGCTGAAGCCGAAAAGTTACGCGAACAAGTTGAATCCCTTTCTCAAGCAATTTGCGCCCGTGATTCGTCTCTTACTAGGTTCGTTGAATTTTTTTTCTCCTTATAGATATTATGCCGTTTTCATCCCTATTCTGCCTTTTTGCGACCGCAAGGTCGACAGTCCTGCGCTGTAAAAAAGACCTAGCAACATCGCTGGTGCAGCAAGCCAGGACAGGGGCGAGAAACGCAATGCAACGGGTCTAGGGCTGAAATCCATTTTCCACATCCCGCTTTTCTTATTTGCCCAGCTTGAGGCGGAGCTGGTGCAGAGGCAGTGGCGCACTTACCACGTGCGCGGTCCGGAGATCAAATCCGAGATCGGCTCTCGCGTGATTCTGTCTCTCCACTAGGTTCGTTTGAATTTTTTTTTCTCCTTTACAGATTATTATGCCTTTCATCCCTCATTCTGCCTTTTGCCGTCCTGCGCCTTAAAAGCCACCCAAAAACAAACCCAACTATCGCTGGCTGCGGTCCAGGCCAGGACAGGAGCGAGAAACGCCAAGCAACGCGGTTCTAGGCCCTAAATCATCCTACTAATATAATCGGCTATGTCCGTGTGTGTGTGTGTGTGTGTGTGTGTGTGTGTGTGTGTGTGTGTGTGTGTGTGTGCGTCTGTCTGTCTGTCTGTCACGAAATTCATAGCACCTGAAGAAGAGCCTGGCGGAGGTCGGGTCAGGAGTGCGGCGATGCGATTTAGTGCATGGGACAAAACCTAAATAGCACCCATGACCCATGGTAAGCCCCGCCCACAGTGGGCGGGGCGTGCGTCCAAATTTAGCGGTGTCACTGAAAAAAGTCATAACTCGGTTCCAGGCAGTCCCGAGATGAGGAAACAGTGCAGTAGTGTTAACAAAGGCGTGGCCGACCAAACAGAGGAGACGCACCCGAAATGGGCGGGGCGTACGTGAGATGGGCGGCGCTTCCCGTGTCACTGAAAAATAGCTATAACTTGGCTACAAAGCAGTTTCCAGCAGACAAGACAAAAACTGCGACAGGTTAAGCCGGTGGTTGGCACATCAAATGGAGGAGACACACCCGGAATGGGCGGGGCGTACTTGAGATGGGCGGCGCTTCTCAAAAAGGTCGGTAACTTGGTCCCCGAAAATGTTTAGGAATCGCAGAAAAGTCCATGACGAAGAAGAATATCTTTGCAAGAGTCAACTTGCTTTGCGGCGTGCTGAGGCCCGCCCACTGTGGGCGGGGCGTGCATTTGAGCACGAGGAACAGTGTAAAAAGTTATAGTTTGGTCCTAAATCACTGCAGATGGTGCCAAAAAAGTGGTCCCCAAGTGACCGAAAGTAAGAATCTGCGAAGCACTCCCGCTGTGGGCGGAGCGTGCCCCAAAGTGGGTGGAGCCAAACTTAAAAAATTCGCAAAACGCTTCCAGAGCCCTCTAGACACCGGGAAAAAGTAGTTTAAGGTCATCGAGGGGTCATAAGTTGAGAGGGCAAGCCGAGGCATACGTAGTGGACGGAGCGGCCAAAGCCAAGCGAAAAAAAACCAAAAAACAAAAAAAACATAAAAAAATGGGGGTGGAGCCAGAACTTTAAATAATCGCCAAGGTTCTAGAGCACCTCCAGATCCAGGCCGGGAAAAAGCTAGTCTAAGATCAGCGAGGTGTTTATTAATGAGAAGCGCGACGCCATACAGTTGTGGGTGGGGGGCGTGCCAGAGGTGGGCTAGAGCAAATTTAACTAAAATTCGCAAAACTTTTTCCAAGAGCCACTCCAGGCACTCCAGACCTCTATGTGATACGGCCCGGCTTTGCGGGGCGTCGCGCTTACCTGCATTCGTATGATCAAATGCTCGACTAATACCCGGCTTTTCTCTCATCTGCCCACTTCATCAACGCTCCGTGCCACCACTCCATTCACTGTAATAGTGTTGAAAGTAGCAGGTATGATGCTATTGGTCAAGGAATGTTGACCACGCTGTCAGTTAAAAGAAAAGCCTGATATTATGTGGCTAATCAAATTGAGTAAGCGCATGCCGCGGAGGAGCGCGCCTGCTCGACGAAGCCGCCGGCTGTATCTCACCGGAAGAGGCGCGTGCCGGGTCAAGCGGCGAAACCCGACTGGTTTTCCATATCCCGCTTTTCTTATTTGCCCAGCTTGAGGCGGAGCTGGTGCAGAGGCAGTGGCGCACTTACCACGTGCGCGGTCCGGAGATCAAATCCGAGATCGGCTCCCGCCCAGGCCAACTAAGCCTTCTTTCTTGAAGGCAGATCCTGCGTTAAGCAGTGCGTGAGGTTAGTATTGTACTTGAGCCGACCAAGATTTGTTAACGGTCTGTCCTGTGAACGCTATAACAAATGTATCTTGGTCGGCTCAAGTACAATACTAATTTGACGAAACAACTATGCCACGACTAAGAGAGAGTCGGTCCTGGATGATACAATGCGTGAGCGTCCTCTGCGCTAGCAAATAGTTTAGCCCTCGGTTTGAGAGGCTTGTTCCACTTTCCGCGCTTTTAAGGATAGGAAGGCCCGACGGCCCTCATAAAGAATGAGCAGTTCCGAAAAGGCCTCCCTAGGTGCCCGCCCACCAAAACTCCAGGGCTATTTTCTATCACGAGTTTGAACCTGCACAATAAAAAAAAAGAGGATAAAGTCTTCGCCGTTGATCAATCCCTTTGTGGGGGATGCGGCACGCATTCTACTTCTATTCATTCAGAATTGTGGTAGCTTACTGAATGCGATGTGGCCTGTACAATGACTTGCGGTGACCAGCCGATATACAAACTCGAGCTGTTGTTATCCTCCTAGACGAATCTGTGGGTACCAGTTTACCGGCTCCGGAGCGTAGACAGGCTTGGTTGGCTGCCGGCGGGAGCGACTGCAAGGATTTGAAGACCCCGGCGCCGGCGCGAGGTGGTGAAGCGCACCACGTTGTCACTACACCACCTCTGCCTAAACCGGTATAATTTCATCATTTTTTTTTGAAAGAAAAAAAGATGTAGATTTATTTAGGTGTCAGACCGAGCTCGCCAGTCTACAGATGCAGCTGAGAGAACGAAGCGAACGTGATAACATCACGCATCTGCAGTCATCCGTCGAACTTCCTGAAGGGTATAGCTTGAGAATAATAATTTCCGATGAAACTGCCTAACAGTGAAGTTGATGACTTCATGATGGTTTGTGCTGCGGCAAGAAGTCGCACGAAGGCGTTAAGGCTTTGCATCTCGTTGTCACACGCCACTGCTGTGAACCAGGCTATGTCGTTTCGATGCTAGCGGTGTCCGGTCAGTGAATCACGTTGCCATCAACGACGCGTGAACGCCGAGTTTGCGAAGCGGTACTCCTTACTCAAGTCGAGTTTATGTGATGTGAACTGAATAAGCCGTTAAAGCCTCATGTGTAAAGCTCTCGCAGAGTTACTTTTCACAATTTCATCAAGAGGGTGACGACATTAAAGATGTTGCGGTTTCGACGATATTTTTTCAGAGAAGTGAAGAAACCGTCAGTCATTTACGCGAGGATAATGTTCGTCTAGAGCGTGAACTATTTCTTTCTCACGAACAGCTTGAATGTGCAAAAGTGAGCGTTGTAACCAGATTCTTCCTACACCTAGTCCTCAATTGATGTAATTCATTTGCTCTAATTGCAGAACGAAATAATTTCACTGCAACAGTCGTTGGATCGTAGCGATGCAATCGCAATAACATCGCGAAACGACAATCAGAGGTGAGGTGGCGTTCGCTCCAGTCAACCATTTCGTTTGGTTCTTCGAATTCAGGCAGTGCCGACTTCGACATTTGAAAGATACCGCCGAACAAGCTCGTACCCAACGAGATGAATCTGTTAGAAAGGTGAGTCGACAAATCACTAGATGCAGGATGAGTCTTGGAATCGCTGAGGCTGCGTTCATATCTTTCATTTACGTCACCGTAATCGACGTTTTCGAAGACTGTGCCGGCGTAATCGAAGGTTTTGACGCTCGACCGCTATCTATCTAAACATCGAGATCGGAAGCCAGTCGTCGATGCGAGAGAAACATTGGTCCGTCCTCTCTCAACATGACAGGGCCAGAGCGCACATTGCAAAAATGCTCTCGCTGAAGCTCATGCAAGAAGCGGGATGGCTTTCCCTTCGCCAGGGTACAGCATCTTTGTGTGAAACACACAGGGAGGGTCGTACTTCTCTGCTGAAGAGGGGGGGGGGTCGTATGCGCCTCCAAGAGCAATTTGCTGCGTTGAGAAAAGTTTTCCTCGCTGTTGGCGTTTTCATATGTATTACATACTCCCCCCTTCTTCTTCCCCCCCCGCTCTTCGACTCGACAGAGATCTTTGGGTGGCTGGAAAATGTTGGAAAATGGAAGGTAGGTGTTGGGGAAGGGGAGGTGGTCGTTTGTACCGAGACTCCCATTTAGGTGTTTTACGCATCACGCTGTACCCTGCCCTTCGCACCAGTATAGCCAAAAAATCACTCTTTCCAACCACTAGTTGTTTTCCAGAATTACTCGTCACGTGGATGAGAAAAGCTGGACGGCCCGAGCCCAGGTCGAAATCTAAATTAAGGCCCACTTTGCGCTGCGCTAGCCTGCGTTGTGAAGAGACGGCATCCTTAAAGGCATTTGGCACGATAAATCCGAACGATGGTAGGACGGATTCCGCGCCCTTCAGCAATCGTGCGTAGCGCCTTTTTGAAGGAATGTGCTCTTATAAGGCCCTATCAAACTGCAACAAACGGATCCAGACGTCTACCGCTCCCGCCCGCCCACAAATGGACGACCGTACCTGATGCTCGTATTGGTTCATTTGCGAAGTAAAACGAGAAGTGAAGTGACATGAAGCGGCCGCTGTGGCATGAATATGAGTACGTACTTGCAGCCGTACCTACCGTACCGGTGACTAGCAGGAAGCCTACGGGAAACTTGTCCGTCCGAAATCGTTTTTTGAGTCTTTAGGAACGAAGGCTTTTCTTCCCGGATTTCTAACCGTTTCACTACGTTTCTTCGCCCTTTTCCCACCATATACCCTGTTAGTATTTTACTCCGAATACCAAATTATCGTGTCATATCCTTTGAAGTGTCCAAATGATGGAAAAACCACGCAATAACAATGGTTGATATGTTTGATCTTATACCGTTCTGAACAAAAGGCAAGCTTTATCTCGGAAAAGAATGCTGGGTTTCCCCGTGGCTAATCGAATGCGTGCATCGCGTAAAGAGGAATCTACAAACAGGAAAAGTCCTACTTTACTCGCAGAACTAAATATCCTCTTTGCACTCTAGTGAACTGCTTGTTATCGTATACTGGAAGTTTCTAACTTTGGCAATTACTGCAACAGCAAGCATTATAAGCAATGCGCTATCCAGCGTAGCCTGAGTAAAAAACGAAAACTTAGGACTAGTGTCCTACTCGAAAAAAGACTTTCGTTCAATTCATCTCCAGTTCTTCGGTTTACAGATGGAGTCGTTGCGCAAGCAACTGGAGCTTGCTGTCCAAGAGATTGAAAGTCTTACTCGCTCTAACGAAGAAGTTCGCCACTTAGAAGCTGCACTTGAGAAGGTTGGTTGTCTTCATTCAAAATCATCACAATAGACGACAAACTTTGAAAGTACCTGCATTCACCCAATAGGCGCTGTTTAATGAACGAGTTCTGATATTTATATTCTAAAAGGTCTGTATTCAGAGTCGTATTGAGAAATCTGATCTGTATGATGAGTTGTCTTCACAACGATCAATGCTTGATCGTGTTTTGGCAGAAAAAGATGCTCTCCTTGCTCAAGTGACAACTCTCAATGGACAGCTTGACGAAAGAACAAACCGGCTGCGTCAAGCAGGTGAGGCTAAGATGGACACAACTCTCAGGTGCGTTCCTATACCGCTACTGTATTTCTTGGATAAAGAACTTTATTGGGACTTGTTTCAGGATAGTTGAGCTGGAGTCCCAAATTGCTGCTATTTTACGTGAGAGGGATACCAGCGCTGAACACAACCAAGACCAACCATCATGTAGCGGTCTTGGTGCGGATCAGCCACCTCTTAAAACTATTCCGATAGACCACGTTGCCGTACAAATAGAGAACGAGGTTGTTTCTGTTAATGTGGTTTTTTTAGATCTCTGAATCAAGTAACATGAATTCAGGGGGATCGCGCTGAAATTGAACGACTTCGCACTGAATTGAAAAGGGCAGAAGAAAGAATCGCTGAGGTGGTAAACTTGGAAAAGTTGACGATTGACTCTTCGCATTGTCTCCTTTTTCAGCTGGAGGTCTTTGAAAGGACTGTGGGTGATGATCAGCGACTGCTTCCTGAAACTTCAGTTTCGTCAGAACATGATGCCTTTGTGGTTGGTTTATCTCTTCTAAATTTCGTTACTGTTTTTAAGGGAAGGATTTGTACACTGTTCTGTGGTTAGTTTATAGTCAGCGGTTTAGGTTTTGCTTTCACACTTGAAACAGAGTTCTCGTGAAATAATTTGAGTCGTAAGTGGGTGTCGATTTAGCTATTACGAGGCAGGGCGGAGATGCTAGTGCAAAGGTTGTGAAAGGAAACACAACAGAAACACTCGAATTGTGGCTGAACGATGCTAGGGAATGTAATAAATATTGGCGGTACTATTACTACCACGTAAAAAGATTGGCGGTACTGCAGTTTAAGGAATCACGCGGCAGGGGGGGGGGGACGGAGAGAGAAAAATACTTTGGTGGCGCACACGCGACGTGTGCTGAGCGATGATGCGGTGAAGGACTGGACGCTGGCAGGCGCTACCATCACTCTGACTTGGCAGATTAGCTGTTACTCAGCTAATTTTTTCCCCTCATTCGGTAGTTTGGGGCGCGCGCTGGTAAATACAAACCGTGGGGTCAGTATATCGTTTGGGATGTTCCGTTAATTCTTAGAGAACGTCTTTCAGCTGCCTTCTACGTCTTAGTGCTCTTGAACAGTCATCATTCGTTATTTCCTGCCTTCTCCGTTGTCCCACCTTGTTACCATTGAACTACAAAGTGCCAAAAAGGTTTTAGCCGTAAGATTGACGATTAACAGAGACGGGATCACGTGGTGAAACAACGGATGCCGCTCCTTGCACCCTTAGACGAGGCCGCGAATTTATTCCAGTCGTCTGCTCTCTTCTAACAAGTCAGTCGCTCTAGCCACAGTGGGTCTCGTAGGCCAAACGTTGATAGAGAACAGATCATTTCGTCCTGCGGCTGTGTGTCCACCTCTCAACTGTTGCAAAGTCGAGGCTCTCGATCAAGACTGAAAAGCTTCTTGGAAAAAAACATGATTGAGATGAGAGCAACATCACGATAAATAAAGCCACCTTTCGATAATGGGCTGAGGGATCCCGATTTGCCGTGGAGGAAGAGATTCTCGTCGAACGAGAATGGCAGGCATCTGAAGACAAAAAGTAAAGTGGAGCGCGCTCCCGCGCAAACAGCTATCGACCTGTGATCTTGCAATCAAACGTATGCTTTACTGATCATGCGGTCAACCAGCTTCTCCTTTGCTTACACTTCAGTATCCTGTATATGGTGTTATTATTATTGAGTTCCCACATTTAGTGGCCACATCACTTCATAACTGCGTCCACGCCGTTGCCATCGTTAGTCACACTTTTGTCACGCCGTTTGAGTGCGCTTCGACATCGTCCGTCGCGTGCCATATTGCCTTATTTCCGCTATGCCATGGCTGTCTATGCGGTCGCCCTTCATATTATGCTCATTCATTGTTGGTTTTTCGCTGTTTGTCCATGATACTCTTTTTCTACATGTGTTCTAATGTAAGCATTGTAACCACTGTCACGTTGCTTTTTGAACTTTCACTCTCGAGCAGTGTGCTCTGTATGTCGATCTATTCTTCGCTCCAAATGGGTTTAATAAGCTCGTTCACTGTGATTACTGTGAGCTGATGCACGTTTTAAAGGCTTCAATCTCAGCATTTCAGTATTTTGTATATAATTGTTTTATCGTTATTCGTAAGACGCGGTTACATCAGCAGGCTAACGGTTTCTCTTTTCTGTGATATGTAGATGGGATCATTGCCGGTTCGTTATTATTACTTGTAGAATCGTATATGAAAAATAAAGATTTTTACCGTTAAGATGTAGCAACCAGCTTGACTGATGCGCACTGCTTACGCGCATTACATAGCGAATCCTACGAAACTGACCAGAAATCAATTGAAAATGTCCAGTACTTATCATATCTCTGACGACATGCCCAATCGCTGGAACTACGGACGACATTCAGCATTCGAAAGCGTTTCGATGATAACGGTATCAAAATGGCTACTCATTGGTAACGATCACGAACCATAAGTATCTAGTTACCGTTGAAACTGGCGAGCATAGAGGTAGACTCGATTCTGATTCTGGTGCTATCGGGATGGTGTGGTCGTTTCCGCTACAGACGCGGGGTCATGGTAGGGGGTTGGCACCGCACCAAACCTAGTCTACCCTCTCCAGCATGACCCAGTGCCTTTAGCGAAACACTGCATGGAACTTGCTCATTCACTGTCAGCTTGCCTCTACTCTTCTACTCATGCGCTGCATGGCCGCAGTTAGTTCATGGAGCAGAATGTGACTCCTCTTACCTATCCTTACTACCCTGAATCCAAAGTCACTAGATTGTCAGGATCGCCTTCCCATTGTTGCTTCTATACACACACTATGACAGGTGACCTCTGCTTTCTGACGCTGCTTATCAACTCTCACCAGTCACTATAGCTTCCTCTTTTTTACCTTACAAGTTCCCTTTTTATCGCCTTTATTACTTGTCAGGTTGAATCCTGTGGTGCTAAACGAAAGAAAGCTGTGAATTTCTGCTCGAGCGCACACTAGCAGGCAAAATCGGCGGATTATACATACAAGATGGCTCTGCAGTGATAGAAAAACTCTGACAGATCTAGATTCCGCAAAACAAAATGCGAACCCGCAAATCGCGATATGATCGTGGAATTAGTGCACTTTCGTTATCGCGTGTGACTTCCATCTCCCATGAACATCCTGATGTGGCTCCACAGTATAGGACTATTCGTAACACGGAGCTCGCTGAGACGTAGAATTTGTGTGGGGCTACCATGATTTCATTTCTCTACTTTTCATTGGCCCTTGAGAGGACGGTTCAGTTCCATGTTGTATTCCAAGTTCCCTTTCTTGTCGCCACCCTTTCACTGTATGTCATCTTCAGTATTAAAGGAAAGGCACCGACCGACAGGTAACTCAAAGCGGCGCCTAATAAACTGCAAGTCCGCAATATACGCACTTATAGCACTGTATCTTACGCTAGTGCCACTAATAGAATTGTGTTTCCATATCCACTGAACTGAACCGGGATATTCGGAGATTTGCTGATGTTTTCTTTAGCCTCGAAACAGAAGTTATATATGTTGGGCATATACAAAGCGTAAATTATATCCAACAGACTATGCTTACAACGCTTCGCTCCCAACTGTCCGGAACAGGACAGGATAGTTACACGAATAGAATGGCAGGATCTGCTTTCACTTTCTTCAGACCAAAAAGAAACCCATTGCATGATTTTTGTTGCAAAGCTGTGCTTAGGAAAGCGAAAAAAAAACGCTGCTATCAAAACCCGTGAACGTAAAAGTGCCTAATTACGAACACGGCATTGCTTCTTTGTGCAGAAAACAAAATTCAGTATCATGATTTGGATCAGCAACAACAGATACTCTTGTCGTTGTACAGCGGAACCAGCGACCAACTAGTTCCCGTATCGTTCTGGGCTCCCTGATTTCCACAGTGAATATTTATCCCTATTGGGTGTGTAGATTTCACTATTTGTCAATAGGCTTTGTAAAAAAATGACATACAGGTGTGAAAAGTCTCAATATGAGCGCGGCCAATCATACATAGCATGTGTTGAAACTACACACATGAACCATCCATTCCACCTTTCGAAGCGATGAGGTCGATAGTAAGTCGACCGTGGTACTACCTCAGTTAGTGTTTACTTCAGCGAAATTGGAAAGCTAGTTTTATCCTTCACTGACCACCACCAATTGTGCAGCACGGCCAAAAAGCTTGAATCAAGCGTAATGATAACTCAAGGTAACGAAAAATTACTAAGTTGTATAATAAAACGGATGATTTTAGCTTCAATGTAATCAGATTTCCATATAGTGACACAAACATTTCCCTTATTAATAAGGCTTCTGTTATATACACAGAAACATTAAGGTTAGCAAACACCTGTTCGTTCTTTGATATATTCGTAAGCAAAATACCCAACGGTCACGATACTTTTGAGGAATGGTTACGAAGAAGAGTTTATTATTACTAGCATAGTTAAATGTATTTACAAAAATAAATTTATAGTTACAAATACTCAATTGCAAATAACTATAAAAAGATAAGTAGACTGGTTAAAGGTATTCTCACTAGCAGCGATGTTCAACACTAATTCTCACTTTACTATTTCCAATTTTTTACTTTTACCTGACCTTTATTGCACGGTTTTTCAATGTACATCTTTGTTTCAACTTCTCTCATTTCATCCCTTTTCTCGACTCCTTCCCCTATGTATCCGTGTCCTTGTTTCGTCAACCCTATCTCACTGAGGAGCCTGGGGGTTGGCGAGACAATGATGGTTGACTTGGGAGTAACAGGCGAAACTAGTCATCTGTGTTTTGGAGCATTTTCTTCTTCCAATATTCTGTTCTGTTTGTTTCTAATTAGACCTAATCTGATAGTGACATATTCAAAATACACCGGTCTTCTTTCATCCAGACGAAAAGCACGCTCGCTCTCGCGCGCGTGGTTCAGACGTCGCCACATGCTGTGTGTTTTTCCATCGCCGCTTTGCAAGAGCCTTATAGAAGAGCGTCCCGCTGTACTAGGTTAGCCGGTCTACCTGCCCTGTTAGCCGCTGAAGTTGGCGCTTAATGGCTCTACCTTCTGTGGAACGCGGTACAGGGACCACGCTCTCTCTCGCGCGCTCTCGGCTCGCGCGCCGATTCCAATAACCACCTCCCCTGAAACGTCAGGCGCGTCTACACCGAAAGCGACTATGTGAAGTTTATGATATGAAGTTTGCTGTGCCTTGGACCCGCCTAGGACAGCTGTTTGTCTAGCGTTTACTGATTGTGTCCTACGTACAGTATTTAACAAAAATAAGTAATTCGAACAGAATAACGCGCATGAATAAATACAATTATATAAAGATCGATGTTACTTGTTAGGTAACTGCTGTTTAATCGCGCGCATGTCGCGCGATCCGAAAGCAGCCACAAGACATGCCTGAGTTTATGCGCAAAGTCAGCCCGCACGGCACGGGATTCTGAAAGGCGGCGCCATTCTGCTTTCCGTGCCCAGCCTGGGCGTTCCCTATTACGCTACCGGGGCACTTTTGACCACTCAGCTCAATGGCTATTTGTGCCATTGCCTGCCGTGCCCCAAAGTGGCCCCGGTAGCGTAATAGGGAACGCAGCTGCAGGAAAGCAGAAGATGCGGGTTCGAATCCCGTCCGTGGTCCGACTTTTGCCCATAACTCAGCATTCTTGTGATATAAATGAACTTTGACAAGAATAAGTTTGATAGGAGCGGCAGCCAGGAGAAAATCAGCAAAAAAACCTACAACATGCATTGAAACTATTGCTGAAAGGCGAAAACAGAAGTCGAAGTGTGCATTCAAGTCCATGTCTGCTTAAAAAGTCACATGGCGCCCATTGTGTTGGAGATGCATTTAAAGGAATTTTCCACCTCCAGGTTAATTGCACAGAGGAAATTGGATCCTATTTCTACATTCTGCACCGTGCACATATAGTTTGTACCATTGCAATTTGTCGGGCGGCGAGCGCAGAGCGGCATAAGCCCGCCTGCGGCTGCCTTGCTCTACCAATGGCGATCGGGAAAAGATCAATTCAGGAGGAAAACAACCATTGGTGGCAATGCCGCAGGTCGCGACCGCTGATTGTGACCCGACAGATTGCGGTGATATCAGCTGTAGCTGCAAC